AGTTCGAGACCAGCCTGGCTAACATTGTGAAACCCCTTCTCTACTAAAAGTACAAAAATTAGCTGGATGTGGTGGTGTGCACTTGTAATTGCAGCTATTTGGGAGGCTGAGGCAGGAGAATTGCTAGGAGGCAGAGGTTGCAGTGATCCAGGATTGTGCCACTGCACTCCAGCCTGCGCAACGGAGCAAGACTCTGTCTCTAAGAACAAAGAACACAAAATCTTTTAACAGTTGACAGTGACTTCACTAGCTGTGGAATTCTGGTTCAAGAGGTTTTTTTTTCCCCCCCAGCACATTAAGGATGTCCTCCTATTGCCTTATGCCTTCCTCAATGTTGAAAATTTAGCAATCCTATTGCTTCTTTGAAAATAATGTTTTTTTGGTCTGGTGGCTTTTAAGATTTTTATTTTGTCTTTGATTTTCAGCAGTTTTACTCTGTTGTCCTGTAGTCATGATCTATTGCTGTATAACAAATCACCCCAAAATTTAGCAGCTTAAAACTACACTGATTTATTACTATCTGCCCGTCTGTAAGTCCAGGCACAGCTCAGGTGGGTTCTTTGTTTCCTTTTCTCTGAAGATGCATTCAAAATGTTGGCAGAGCTGGGGTTTTAGCTGAAGTCTTGATGGGGAAGGAATATGCTCCCAAACTCATGTAGTTTTGGTGAGATTTAGTTCCTGGAGGGTTGTTTGACCAAGGCTATTGGCAACCCTCCGTTCCTTCCCCTTGGTCTTTCCGGTCTGATAGCTTGAGTTATCAAGATGAGAGCTGATAAGACAGTAGAGCCTTAGTGAGACAAAAGTCACAATTATAACCTAATCACAGAAGTAGTATCCTTTCAATGTTACTGTATTCTGAAGTAACTGAGGACGGGATTTCACAAGTCTATGACTAAGAAGTTTGGGCACTATTAGAGGGCTTGTCAGAAGCTGCCTTTCACATGCACACCTAGGTGGTTTTCTTTGCATTTCTTTTGCTTGGGTTCTCTGAACTTTCTGAATAAGTGGCGTGATATCAAATAGTTTAATGTGTAATTAAAGTCCCAAGTGGAAAGGATAGAGGGCAGAAATAGTTTGAAGCAATAATGACTAAGCGTTGTTGAACATCTGGACCATCTCTAGGTCTGCTGCTATTGACCATTTCCTCTCTTGACCATGGGTCACATATCTGGCTTTTTTGTGTATCTCGTCATTTATTGAGGTATGCTGTCACTTTTTGTGTAAAAAGAGTAGAGGCTGCAGTAATGTATTTACTCCTGGTAAAGATTATGCTCTTTTCTCCCTCATGCAGTTAGTGCATGAAACAGGGTCAATCGCCAGGCGCAGTGGCTCACGCCTGTAATCCTAGCACTTCGGGAGGCTGAGGTGGGTGGACCACCTGAGGTCAGGAGTTCAAGACCAGCCTGGCCATCATGGTGAAACCCCATCTTTATTTTATTTTATTTATTTATTTATTTATTTTGAGACAGAGTCTCACTCTGTTGCCAGGCGCTAGGCTGGAGTGCAGTGGCACAATCTCGGCTCACTGCAACCTCCGCCTCCCGGGTTCAAGCAATTCTCCTGCTTCAGCCTCCCGAGTAGCTGGGACTACAGGCGCATGCCACCACACCCAGCTAATTTTTGTATTTTTAGTGAAGACAGGGTTTCACCATGTTGGCCAGGATGGTCTCGATCTCTTGACCTCGTGATCCGCCCGCCTCACCCTCCCAAAGTGCTGGGATTACAGGCTTGAGCCACCGTGCCCGGCCGAAACCCCATCTTTAAAAAATAAATAAATAAATAAAATAAAAAAGAAACAGGGTCATTCTAATTTGTAATTATCATCTCTGATCTTAGTTACATTCAGTTAATCACTGGCTTTGTATACTTTGAGGTGGCATCAAGACTTTCCCTTCCAGCAGTTTGGCATTTGGGCACTCTTTTTTTTTGAGATGCAGTTTTGCTCTTGTTACCAGGCTGGAGTGCAATGGCGCGATCTCGGCTTACCGCAACCTCTGCCTCCTGGGTTCAGGCAATTCTCCTGCCTCAGCCTCCTGAGTAGCTGCGATTACAGGCACGCACCACCATGCCCAGCTAATTTTGTGTATTTTTAGTAGAGACGGGGTTTCACCATGTTGACCAGGATGGCCTCGATGTCTTGACCTCGTGATCCACCTGTGTCGGCCTCCCAAAGTGCTGGGATTACAGGCGTGAGCCACCGTGCCCAGCTGGGCACTCTTGAAATCCCTGAGATGTCTTATTTTTTTGTAGTGAAGTTGCCACCTTTCCAAACTTTGTGATATCTTGTTCTACTTTGTACCTAACTGCCAGCTTTTTAGGTTACTACAGAGTTCTCTCTACCTTGCAGTCCTGCTCTGGGCTTTCCATGTCAGAAGAGATTTTCCACTGTGTTGTTCTATCTGTAGCCTTAGGAGGGCCTCCGTGGTACACTTGGAATGTAAGGTTTTTTTCCAGGGCTGCCTGACTATAGTGTTTGGGCCTTATGCAGTTGGTGAAGGCCTGTGAAAAAAAATTGTGGTAGATGTGCAGACTTACTGTGACTGAGGCTCCTTAGGATTCTGGTCAGTCATGCCAGCCACAAGTTTGTTAGAGGTTTGAATGGCTTTTTCTTATTCTTGTCTGAGGTCAGTTCTTTCTGCCTCTCTGCTAGGAATGAAAGCAGCTATGAGTCCCTTTTCTTTACTTATTTTTGAGATGGAATTTCACTCATTCCCCAGCCTGGAGTGCAATGACATGATCTTGGCTTACTGCAACCTCTGCGTCCTGGGTTTAAGTGATTCTTCTGCCTCAGCCTCCCAGGTTCGAGCGATTTTTGTACCTCAGCCTCCCAAGTGGATGGTATTACACATGCATGCCCACCACCAAGCCCAGATAATTTTTTTTTTTTTTTTTTTTGAGATGGAGTTTCGCTCTTGTTACCCAGGCTGGAGTGCAATGGCGCGATCTCGGCTCACCGCAACCTCCGTCTCCTGGGTTCAGGCAATTCTCCTGCCTCAGCCTCCTGAGTAGCTGGGATTACAGGCACACGCCACCATGCCCAGCTAATTTTTTGTATTTTTAGTAGAGACGGGGTTTCACCATGTTGACCAGGATGGTCTCGATCTCTTGACCTTGTGATCCACCCGCCTCGGCCTCCCAAAGTTCTGGGATTACAGGCTTGAGCCACCGCGCCCGGCCCCAGATAATTTTTGTATTTTTTTTTTTTTTTTTTTTTTTTTTTTTTTAGTAGAGATGGAGTTTTACCATTTTGGCCAGGCTGGTCTCAAACTCCTGACTTCAGGTGATCCACCTGCCTCAGCCTCCCAAAGTGCTGGGGTTACAGGTTGAGCCACTGCGCTTGCCCCGAGTCCCTTTTGTGTTCACAGAAAAGCTTGTACTTTCTGGGATTAGTTAATGTACATTTTTGTTTCTTCAGCTGTGATGGGTTTAAACATTTTTAAAAAGTTTATCTAGCTTGTTCTTATTGTAGAGATGAGAGCAATAGTTTCTCACTTTATCTTTTACGTTGGAGTAAATAATTATTTTTATTTTATGTATTTATTTTTTGAGATGAGTCTCGCTCTGTTGCCCAGGCTGGAGGGCAGTGGCATGATCTTGGCTCACTGCAACCTCTGCCTCCCAGGTTCAAGCGATTCTTCTGCCTCAACCCCCCCAGTAGCTAGGATTACAGGCCTGTGCCACCATGCCTAGCTAATTTTTGCGTTTTTAGTAGAGACAGGGTTTTGCCATGTTGGCTAGGCTGGTCTTGAGCTCCTGACCTCAGGTGATCCACCTGCCTGAGCTTCCTAAAGTGCAGGGATTACAGGTGTGAGCCACTGTGCCCATCCAAATGATTATTTTTAATTTAAAATTATAAGAGATGTATAATTGTTTGTAGTTATTCGTAGGTATATCTACTTTCGGTTCCTGGCACCTAGTAGTCTGTCAATACTTACTGAAAGCATTAATGTTTTTTACTGCCTAGTATATTGTTGAGAACCAGTTATCCCTGATTTGGTTACTAGATGATGTCTTGTATGATCTTTGCTATCTTAACATCTCTCTCAAAGATGTGTGTTTCACTTACAGGCCAGTTAGGGTTTTTTTTTTTTTGAGACGGAATCTTGCTCTGTCACCAAGGTGGAGTGCAGTGGCGCTATCTCAGCTCACTGAAACCTCTGCCCAGGTTCAAGCAGTTCCCCTGCCTCAGCCTCCTGAGTAGCTGAGACTACAGGTGCGCGCCACCACACCTGGCTATTTTTTTGTTTTTTTGTAGAGACAGGGCTTCACCATGTTGACCAGGATAGTCTCGATCTTCTGACCTTGTGATCCACCTGCCTTGGCCTCCAAAGTGCTGGGATTACAGGTGTGAGCCACTGCGCCCGGCCAATTTATTTTTTTTAGATGGAGTTTCATTCTTGTTGCTCAGGCTTGGGCGCAGTGGCACGATCTTGGCTCACTGCAACCTCCGCCTCCCATGTTCAAGTGATTCTCTTGCCTCAGCCTCCCAAGTAGCAGGGAATAAAGGATTGTGCCACCATGACTGGCTAATTTTGTATTTTAGTAGAGACAGGGTTTCACCGTGTTGGTCAGGCTAGTGATCCACCTGCCTTGGCCTTCCAAAGTGCTGGGATTACAGGTGTGAGCCAGTGTACCTGGCCCAGTTAGCATAATTTTGAGTGAAGTCTTGATTTCAAGTCTTGAGATTAGGTTTTGTTAGTGCTCCAACCTTTATTCTTTTTCAAAGGTGCTTTACTAGATCATTTGCATATAAATTTTAGAACAAAATTGTCAATTTCTACAAAATTCCTGCTAAAGTTTTGAGTGTTACAGGTTTGAATCTGTACATTTAAACAAATTTATTTTAAAAAATAAATTTTATTTAGATTGTTTTTAATGTCTCTCAGCATGTTTTGTAGTTTTCAGTATATGTTTTTCATGTTTTGTCAGAATTGTCCCTAAGTATTCAATAGTATTTGGTATTATTAAAGTGCTGTCATTAAAACTTGCTCTCCAACTAGGTCTTGTCCAATAAGCATGTGGCTCCTGATCATCTGTTGCAAATCTGCCAACGCATCGGGCCTATGTTGGATAAAGAAATTCCACCCAGTATTTCAAGAGTCACTTCTTTACTTGGTGCAGGAAGGCAGTCTTTGCTACGTACAGCAAAAGGTACCTTAATTTGAAGAAGTGTTCTGCTTTGTATTAATAGCCTAATAATTATTATAATTGTGAAGTAATGTAAGCATTGTAGAAGAAAGGTGATAATGTAACTATAAATCATGCTGTGGACTATAACATTCTCTGCATTTAGCATAGAACATTGAATTTTATTACATAAGTGTTTAATGGGTCCTTCTGCATTGAAAAGTTGATAAAGATACAGATGTTAAGCTAAAAAGCTTGAATTTATTCTGAGATGCGTTTGAGGTTTTATCAATGTGAGTTCTTAATTTTCCATTTTGTAGCTCACTCATAACTTCATTGAGTGTAATTGTATGTGTCTAATAAACTCTTTAAATGCTAGAAGTATTTCATTTGATATTTAGCTTCTGAAAGCCCTTTGTTATAAAGGGAAGTGATTTTCTAAATTTGGTAGCAGCTTGAAAACAAGCATCAAAAATGTAAAATTGCATGGTTCTTTTTTTACTAATTAATTTTTTTGCCAAGTTATGTGCTAGGAAAATGTTTGAAATTGCTATTCTTTTTCTGTTAGCTTGGTATATATGACTTAGACTAAGTATATGTATGTGATATAATCTATGTGTACATGTGGCCAAACTGCTAATGGGCAAAGATTGTTGGTTCTTCTGATCCTGAGCATAAATCAAGTTCATCCCATGATTAGTTTTTATTATGAGCTATTGCTGATGTGCTGCTACCTCTTGGATGCACCACCAGTATAAAGCTTAATTGAGAAAGAACACCCCTCCCTCATAGTTCAATGCCAGACTGGTTTGTTAGCTTTAGTTGTTTCTTAGTGCTCAAGCCATACCACCCTGTGGCACTAATCAGGAAACTGTTTATATTCTTCCTCTTCTGTGTCCCTATTCACTTTGTAATTATTCTATTTTAGCTGGTTATATGGTAGTTAATGGGTAGCCTGTTTCCTTTTGTTTTCTTTACTTGTGTCAAGCTCCATGTTGTTGTTGTGTGATGAGCAGTGATTTAGAACTGGCAGACCTTAGAAGAGACTTTAGCAAGCTGCCCTAGGGTAGGGGCCATATTCTCTATTTGTTTTGTACTGGTACCACAGGAGGATGCCTTGTAACTGCTCTTTGGTCATGATAGTGGCAATGAATCCATTCATGTAAAATGCAATATGGCTGTTAGTTTGGGGCACCCGAGGCTCAGTAGAGGTTTAGTATGATGCCTTCCTTCTCTTTCTGAGTTGTGAAGAAACTAATTTCTGGCACAGTGTGACTGCTTAAAACCTATATTCTGCTGCCATCTCCTGTAGAGGAGAGCAGACTTTTTTTTCTTAGTGCATTTACTGGTAGGTCAAGGAGGGATGGACTTTGAATTAGTGTTCAGACTCACAGATCTTACATATGTGTTCTTCAGTAGAGGATTTTCTATGATCCTAAAACGAAGGGAAAGCTGTATAATTTGTCAGTAGTTCCTAACGAGGGAGACTAAAGTCATGGCAGTATTGGCCAAATTAATTTTAAAACTGAATAAGTCATGAATTTTCATATAACTCAAATTTTACCTCATAAAAGCTTCCATTTTTGAAAAGTTGGATCAGTTGTAAGACCTTATCTTTAATATTGTATGATATAATTCTACATTGAAAAATAAACATTTACTTGGCATCAATTGGGACTTGGAGTCGAAAGATCTGGTTTCATGGTCCATCTTTACCAGTCATTTTCTGTGGATCTCTTTAAAGGTCCTGGAACCTTTGAGCCTCAGTTACCTCACTTGTAAATTGGCAAAAATACCTACCTCACAGGGTTGTTGTGAGGATTCAATGAGATAATGTATGTTGAAAGCACTTTGTGAATTGTAAAGTGCTACACAAATGTTAGTTGTTGTTGCTGCTGTATCTGAGATGTCTTAATTTTCTTTTCCTTCAGAAATAGTCTAATAAACCTCCAGGGCTTTTCTGTTAAAGTATATTAGTTGGTAAAATGTTGAATAAACAGTTTATTACAATATACGTAAGTATTCTATAAAATCTTCTTTGGGGTTAACTTTCAAGATTTTATGTGTATCTAAAATTCATTTTAAAGACTGCAGGCACACAGTTTGGAAGGGCTCTGCCTTTGCTGCTCTTCATAGAGGAAGACCTCCTGAAATGCCAGTGAATTATGGTTCCCCACCTAATCTTGGTAAGTAAGGTTGGCCTTTAAGATACCTGAAATCATTCTTTCTTAAATTTCTTGATAACCTTTATGAATGCTATATTAAAATTTAAAAGGAAATACTTGTTAAAATGTTGTTTTAATAGTAATGTGTATCAAATTTCAAATTAATTAAAATTACTAAAAATAAAGTTAATGAAAAAGAATCTTATTGTAGTAAGAAATTTCTATTAGTGAATATAGAAGAAAGAATTGGGAAGAAATTGTGTCCTTAGGGTTTCTTGAACATAGATTTTTGTGACCCTCTAGAAGTAGTTATACAAATTTTAGATTTTTCCATATTGGCTCTCCCTTAACCATTTTTATTGTTTTTATTTCCTAGTGGAGATACATCGAGGAAAACAACTCACAGGGTGTTCTACTTTTAGTACAGCATTTCCAGGAACTATGTATCAACATATAAAAATGCACAGAAGGATTCTCGGACATCTATCTGCTGTTTACTGTGTAGCATTTGATAGGACAGGACATAGAATCTTTACAGTGAGTTAACATTTTAAACTTTATTTCATGTAATCTAGAGTACTTTAGTGTGCTTCAGAATCATCTAGGAAGTCTTACAAAATATGTAGATTCTGTTTCCCATCCTCACAGATTTTGATTCAGTAGGTATGGTGTGGCTTCCATGAATTTGTGTTTTCAAATAAGTGCTCCAAGTGATTCAGCTGAAGATAGTCAGGACTGTGTGCTGTTTGAGAGACAGTGATTCAGAGTAGTGGTTCTTAAGTGGGATATTTAAGGATGCTTAAAAATAGGCATACCTAATACTTTCCCTCTAGCATGTTCTAGACTTACTGAATTATATTACATTGTAATTAATCTAAATATATGTATTAACTGTAAATCCCTCAAAATAGAAAGCTCCTCAGACCTCTATAAGCGATTCCTCTTCACATTAACCAATCACTGTTTCAGGAAAATGAATTGATTATAAAATAACCCATTAGTCTTCAAGTAAGTATTAAAAAAGATCTGAAAACATTTGGAATTTATCATTTTAATGTTTTAAGGGTAAATTAGGATAGGTGAGAAGTCTAAGTTTAAATTGCAGGTGTGCAATTCAGAATAGCTAATCAAATGTTTCTTGAATGAATGGGTGCTGGCTAGTACTGTAAACTTCAAACTGTGTTGTTTGTGAAGAAGCTATTCCCACCATTTTTGTCTTTGGGATTGCAACTTAGTCCTGTTTCTCACACTATGAAATATAGATCTGTTCTAACATTCATCAAATTTTTTAGCTTGGTGTGAATAGACTAACATTTAGCCATTGTTAGTTGATATAAGAGAGCCAAGAACTTTGAGTTGGACTTACTGCTTTGCAGAAAACTTGGGGGAAAATAGTGTTGATAATGGAGTCTGACCCATAGAAATGATAACTTGATGGCACCTCTATGTAGACTTTCTTTGCTTTAAAGAAAAATACTATTATTCCATAAGTGTTCTGACTGTAAGTCATAATTTATTACATAAATAACAGTATTCTATAGTTGGAAAGAGAGAAGTTAAAGATAGTTCATTTGGATGGCATATAAAAGGTATTCTTTTAATATTATTTAAAAGATTTGCTGTGCTAACATTAATTTTTGGGTATATTTTTCCTTAGGGTTCAGATGATTGTTTGGTAAAGATTTGGTCAACACATAATGGCCGCTTGTTATCTACATTAAGAGGCCATTCTGCAGAAATATCAGATATGGCAGTAAACTATGAGAATACAATGATTGCTGCGGGGAGCTGTGATAAAATTATTAGAGTGTGGTGCTTGAGGACTTGTGCCCCAGTTGCTGTGCTCCAAGGACACACAGGATCAATTACATCTTTACAGGTAAACTTTTAGCTTAGGGGGCACATTCCTATATATGTTTTTACCTTTTTCTTTAAAATAGTTTCTTTGGAATTGAGAAGTAGTAAGATGTTTTTTAGTAACTATACATTTTAAGTAACAGAAATGATATTCATCCTTCCACAGATCATGGAAGGCTGATGAAATAAAGATCTAATGCATATTTACATGAAGGCTTATTGATTTTTTGGGGCTTATGGTTGAACTGGATGTGTGTCAGTTACAAACTGGTGGTATATTATTTTCAACTTTAAAACTTGTGGATTTTGCTAAGTTGATTTTCTTTTTCTTTTTCTTTTTTTTTTTTTTTTTATATTTATTTTTTTTTTTTTTTTGATTTTCTTTTTCTTTTTCTTTTTTTTTTTTTTTTTTGAGACTGAGTCTTGCTCTGTTGCCCAAGCTGGAGTGCAGTGGTATGATCTCCGTTCACTGCAACCTCCGCCTCACCGATATAAGTGATTCTTATGCCTCTGCTTCCCGAGTAGCAGGTTGTCCACCACCATGCCCGGCTAACTTTTTTGTATTTTTAGTGGAGAGAGAGGGTTTCATTGTGTTGGCCAGGCTGGTCTTGAACTCCTGACTTCAAGTGATCTGCCTGCCTCGGCCTCTTAAAGTTGTTGGGATTTTACAGGCGTGAGCCACGGCTCTCTGCCACTAATTGATTTAATTTGGCAAAATATTTAAAGTTTTTTTCACAATAAGCAGAGGATAATTTTGAACATATATGGAGTAGGCAGAATAGTATAATGAATCCCTATGTACCTGTCAACCCATGGCCAGTTCTTTCCTAAGTGCTTCATCTTATACTTAAAGCAAATCCTAGATTTTATATCATGTCTTTTGCAGTATTTCTTTATGTATTTCTAAAAGATAAAGATTCTCTTCCCCCTTTTTTTCATAGCAACTGTTACGGGAGGAAAAGACTCTTTTTTAAAACAACTACAACAGTATTATCACATGGTTTATTGATGTTCAGGTTTCCAGTTGTCTCATAAGTGGTATTTTATTTAGGTCATTTCAATCAGGAGCAGAACAAAGCCTGCATGTTACAATTGATTGCTATAGACTAAAAGAAACTTAAAATATAAATTTCACCTATGTATGCAGTCAAAAAACATTATCTTGCAGTTTCTTTGTTGAAGGACCTAGGTTATCTGTAGTTTCCCCACAGTTTGGATGTTGCCAATTGTTAAACTACATCCTGTTGGAGTAGTTAAATATATTTCTCTGTGTTTCTATTAAGTTGGTTTTTGGATCTAGAGCAGTGGTTCTCTTTAATGTGCATGAGAATCACCTAGAGGGCTTGATTAAAACATTGTTAGGGACTACCCTTAAAGATTCTGATTCAAAACATCTGGAGTGGGGTGTGAGAATTTCATTTTTAAGAAGTCTTCAGATGCTGATGCTGCTTTTTCCATGGACAATGCTTTCAGGATCACCAGTAGAGAATTGATCACGTTGGGGTGTAAGTCCGTCCATCAGAAGGCACAAAATGTCTAGTGTTTTTCTGTGTTACTCGCTGGTGATCGTTGCCTTACGTTCATTAGTTACTAGGGACAGAAAATGCTGCTGTTAGTAGTGCAAGGTTCTTGGCTGTGAGTTGATAGAAATTAATAGGAGGCCGAGCAGGCTTCCCAGACAGTATTTATTAAGACTTATGCCTAGTGGTGGCTCATGCCTGTAATTCCAGCACTTTGGGGAAGCTAAGATGGGAGGATCACTTGAGCTCACAGATTTGAGACCAGCCTGGGCAATACAGCAAGCCTCCCCGCCACCACCAACAAAAAAAGTCGTTTGGCCTCGTGGCATATGCCTGTAGTCTCAGTACTCCTGAGGCTGAGGGAGAATTGTTTGAGCCAGGAGGTTGAGGCTGCAGTGAGGTGTGATTGTACCAGTGCATTCCAGCCTGGGTGACACAGTGAGACTGTCTTAAA